TCATCGCTACTATTTACAGCTGTAAGTTCACCCATGTTTTATTGAACCCGATAATCATAACCATAACAACGTTCTCAAATCCTTTTCATTACTAAAGTTCAACACTAAAATAACTTGTACTTTATGATATTGCCTTAACGGAACGATTCAAAGGGTTTTTATGGGACACCTTGACTAATGAGTCAAAACAGGAAGATGCAATTAGGCGATGAACCATAGCGAGGGACATCACGTTGTTTAGATGTAGACAGGCCGTGGCAGCGTCCCTTAAGGAAGGTAGCAGTTTTCTCTTCGAATTCGGCCTCGTCGTATAATCAACTTGAAGAAACGTTTTCTATTTCTCCTCTTTAAGAATCAGGAGATTACCTGCAACCAGATACTATTGTAATTCAGAGCAATCCCTTGCCTACAGCCGTTTGGCTTCCTATTCTGATCTAATATTTCCACATCGAGCTGCTTAATTGTGAACGCTAAGAAAATTTCGAAGGAATTTAAATAAAGAGGTAAGTAACTCTTTGTGTTTTTGCTTTTCGCTTTGTCACGAAAGTATAACGCTTCATGCAATTAAACTGATCGAATAAAGTATAAACAGGAGCCCCTGGTAAAACTCCCTTTATACCGGAGTGTCTGATATCAAAGTTTTGATTTGGATTGAGCCAAATTTTTAAAGAAATGCCGCCTAACGTTATAGCGACTATTGCCCGGCCCTTGCAACTGTCCGCCGGCCTGGGCTGTTCCTGGCGCTGGTGGTTCTTGAATGGAAACCGATGGAATTCACCAAAGGCTGTTTTCATGAATTTTTTTTTCGACTTTTTATGAAAAAGTATTGTTCTAGAAACGAATTTGACCGTGTGTTGGTCTAATATTGTACACCGGCGTGTAATCATAGTTGATGGTCTTTGTTGCTCGATCTTAATAGTGGTAGTGCGCTGTAATTAGAATTAAAACCCTTAGCGAACAAATATAATGCGACGCCAAGAGAGAAAGAAAGGACAAACATAAAAGCGATGAATCTTTTTTAAGCCAAAAGCTATTGCGCCTTATTACTAAGCCATTATTACTCTTTTAAAGATATAAAAAAGAGAACACTTCTGAGAAAACAAAGTGCAGATGTCCTAGATTGACAAGCTGCTATTTTGTGATGGTGACGAAGAGACGCCACTCGGAACAGATCAAAGAGACTCGTAGGTACCGCAAACGCGGAAGAACTCTCTCCTTTCGACTTTTTATGAATAAGTATTGTTCTAGAAGAGAATTTGACTGTGTGTTGGTCTAATATTGTACGCCATAGTAATCATATTTGATGATCTAGCCGTTACTCTTAGTGGTGGAACAAATATAATGCGACGCCGAGAGAGAAAGAAAGGAGAAAAATAAAAGCGATAAATCTTTTTCATGCCAAAAGCTAATTTGCGTCTTATTACTAAGCCACTATTACTCTTTTCATGAAAGATAAAAAAGAAAACACTTTTGAGAAAAAAAATTGCAGATGTCCTAGCTTGACAAGCTGCTATTTATTTGTGTTCGTGACGAAGAGACACCCAGTTGCCACAACCGCGGAAGAACTCTCCTACATTTATAGTACTGGTAGAGTACTTCATAATGATTCTACCGGAATCGCACTTTTTATTATATATCATATATTAGAAGAGTTTTGATCATCTCTGTAATATATTACCGAAAAAGAAACAAGGAATTGTGCTTGAAAGAAAAACATAATTATATAGTAGTATCTCCCTGCCTTAAGTGCCCGAGAATAGTTATCGCGCGCCCCTTCAAAGGGTTGATGTTTCGATCTATGGTAGCTGTCACAAATGGTTTACAACCTAACTGAATCGATTAACTGCGTATTCCTCTCTATCAAAATGGACTAAAGAGCCGTACATGTTTCGAGAGTTAACAAATAAATAGAAACTAAGTGATGTTAGCGTTTATGAGCAATCTGATTGGTTCGCTATCTCGAACTAAAATATTAACCGCACTTGGAGGTGAATGACGGTCAATTTAAAGCAAACAAGAGACCTTATTGACGGTACTCGCGATCTTTACACACGCATAAGGACTGATGGGATAAATGTAATGTCACTTGGTTTCTCAGGGCGCAAACAAGCGATAAAATCTGCCAATACAAGAAATCGCCGTTTTTTTCAATTTTCGAACGAAAATAATGTTGCTTTCGTTTATTTCTAAGGTCGAAAAATGAACGCCGGGGGCGCAGACTTTGCTATTCACCCAAGTGATCGGTTTATTCAAAGGAATAAGAAAATCTCTATCTTTGCATAAACCTATCCAGAGCACTTCAGTTTTCTTATGGTTGATTTTCAATCCAGATGAGATTGCGAAAGTATCAAGTAAATAAAGGGTTCTGAAAAGGAGAGCTCAGATCCGTCTAGAATCATTGTATCATCGGCATATTGTGAGAGTTTGTACTCAACGTTGGCAAAATGAATGCCACGATTATTTTCATCCTTCCTTGCTGCGGTGCCCAAGACCTCTGCACATAGAATGAAGAGATAGGGGGAGAGCGGGCACCCCTGTCTCACTCGATCCGCGATTCAAAGAAAAAAACCTCAGAAGACTAACCATTGTTTTGGATACAGCTGCTTATATTTGTGTAAGATCAGCCTCGTCCCCAGGCGTTCTCGACTCGGTCAAACCTGGACGCTACCGTGAGCTGTGACGTCACCGAGAGAGACTCGCCCGCTCTCTCCCAGACTTCGCGCGGACAAGAGGGCCTCCATGGGGTGGTGGCATTTACGGTTATCGGCTAAAATCTTGGCTCTTTTACGGCTATCGGCTAATGTTTTTCAGTTACGGTTAACAAAAAAGTTAAAAATTAACTTCTTTTGTTTCAAAAAGTTATAAGTAATTAAACTGTATTTTTTGTATCTTTAAAGCAAAATAAAGGTCTTAGGATCATCTCGGGATATGAAATAAGCTTTTCTTTTGAAAAATTTTAACATTTGATAAATCATACTTTTTATAAAGTATTCCACTTCTAATATTATTTTACACATAAAAATGTCAATGGTCAATTTAAAAATAATCTTTGTGAAAAAGCAAAGCACACACGCGAACGCCTAACTCAAGGCCGGGGCGCGACATTCATTAGAACAGAAATGGCCGTTTTCAGACTAAAGATGGATTATTCGTGTGAGACGGGTTATCCGTTTGATGATTCGCGTCAGATAGGTAATACGTCTTAATTTGAAAATGGAATAGTTTTAATTTTGCATGAACAATCCGCCTGACTTTATCCTTCAACTTCGACGGACAGTTTGAAGACGGGATTATCCGTTGCAGATAGCCTGTGTACAACCGCCCCTTCCCCTCAGAAAAAAAATCGGAGAGGGGGTGTCTGTCGGGAAGGGGGAGACTGTACACAGGCTAGTCTCAGACGGATAATCCGTTTCTAGCTCTAGTGTGAAAACGGCCAATAACAAAATTCCCGTGTCCAGTATTTTTAATGATAGCGAAGGACTGTACGGAACCACTGTCAGACGTTTTGCCTTGTCCGTAGGCCTTATTATTTCGCGCGGCTAATGCGTTTCGGGTCACGTGGTCCGAGCGAGTTCGCCACCGAAATGCCTTGAAGAAGCCACACTTTCGCTATAGAAAAAAAATAAGTTCCCCGAGAGAGCGGCCGAAATGGAAATGGGTCTTGGTCTTCACCAAAAAGGCGCTTTACCTAACGTGCGTACGGAGCCAAACTAGCCGCGAAATAAAAAACGGAACCATAAGTGAGTTTAGTACCTCCCTTAAAAGTAGCAAATCTAGGGAACAATTTCTTTTACGGTTAACTTTTTTTTTACCCTATTTACGGCTGACGGTTAAAATTTTTCAATTTTTACGGCTATCGACTAAATTTTTGGCAGTTTTACGCCTATCGGTTAACCCCATTAAGACCTTCGGACAACGGGTCAAGAGAGAATGCCTAGGGACTAGGCGTAAGATAATTCAAACCACGTCACCAACGCCACGCAAAAGTTGAAATATTTCAAAGTTCTCTCAATAAAGGGTCATTCTATGCTACCAAAGGCTTTTTCGAATTCAATGAAAAGTAGAAGGCCAGGAATTTGTTTTGTATTTTCATACTTGATGATGCTTTCTATGAGCCAGATATTTTCCCCGATAGTTCTGTTTTTTAGAAAACTCGTTACACTCAGTTAGTTATACGCTCCATGGAAATTGAGAAACAGATTGCTTTCGATAATAATAACTTACCCTTCTTTACGAAGAAATGGGCTATTTTCAAATAATGCCCCTCAGAAAAATAATTTAATACTGCAGCTAAATAAGGTGCAAGAGAGAAACGGGCAGATGGGGGAGGAACTGGACCAAAAGGCAGGCAACCGTCTTGCGTGATTGTAGTCGTTTTGTGGACTAAATCTTTCTAATTTTTTTTCCTTATTCTCTTTTTTCCTTTGTTGTAAAATTAGTTATCTGTTTTAATGTAAGATAAATTTTAGTAACCGATAATTAGACTTAATTGTTTGTAAAATATAAAAGAAAAAAAAAGTGGCGAGGAGACCTAACAGAAACTATAGGAGCCAGGGCTCCTGTAGGAGCTTATAAGGGGTTAGGTCTCCTCGAACTACGGGCTAGAGCTGTTTCACATCAATTGAAGAAAAGATGGCGTAAAGTCAAAGGTGGAAAAGAGTTAAGATTGGTTTTCATATATACTATATATATTGATATCTTTAGTATTTTCTTAAAAGAATTATTATCATTACTATTATTATTATTATTATTATTATTATTATTATTAATATCGAATTTATTTGAAATCAATAGTCAAGAAATATCAAAACGTTTTTTCACTGGAAATGTTAATTTCTCTTGTCAAATTAGGAATATTGTTTCCTCTTCCCAGGGGCTTCAAAACATTGTCTTGAATACATTATGGACGTCGTCGTTTATAATGTCTTTGTAATTATGTTTTTGTGATTTTTCTGTCTGATTCAGCTTTCTTTTATAACTTTCACTTTCTTTTACTCAAGATGATGGTCTCTAAGGAAGAGAAACGATGGATTGTTGTGGGAATTGCTATGAACAAAGTTGTTGCTCCTGTTTTGCGAGATACTGTCAAACAAGGAATGGACAACAACTTTACAGATCTGGACAGACACTGCCAACATCTGACCCCACCGTGTACCCTAAGGACATTAATTTATGGTGTTGTCGGATCAGATCCTTTCTTCAGCAGCCTGAAATTTCAAAATATTAACAGCAATGAACTTGTGCATGGTATAAGAAACTACAACTTCAACATTAACAACTCCGTAGATTTGGCTAAGTTGTACCTACCCGGGTATCTTGCTCAGTTCTCAGCCTTTGATGAGTCGCTGGACATGACTGCCATCCTTCGGCTTCTAGGATTCAAAAACTACATGCCTATACCTATGTTCTCCCCACACACCCAGGCTTCATCTGATGATGTCAGAGAAAATGTCAGAAACAAATGGGGCCACGTGGATGTAACTGAGTGGACAAATGCTCTGTTCGATGATTGCTTTGTCAAGCTGGAAACACTAGTGAGGAGTCTTGGCTTAACACCAGTTGTGGAAAGGAAAGTACTGAATGAGCTTGCTGATTGGCAAACAAAAGGTAATTACCGGCTGAAACAATAGCAGACAAGTTCATTGTATTGGTATTGTATGCGGCGGAGTTAACTCAGAATAAATGTTGAAGAGAACCAAAAATCTCTAGTCAAAAGATGTCGATAACTCTCATTGTAGTTGCGTTATTTTATACAAGCCATGCCTACTCTTGATGCAGATGAAGGAACAGATAATAGAGTGCTCAACATGTTATAACAGAGTTCTGTCGAGGGTCTACAACAGGGTCAAAGTGAATGTATAGCAGGATGTCCCAAAAGAGAACCAGATGGAGCATCGAATCAAATGTTCAGCGTGGAACAAAGTTTTAGCGTACATACGGGTTAAACTTACTGATATTTTGTTACGCTTCAACATAACATCCTCTTACATCTTTAGAATTTTTCTTCAAAATCAAGACAATGTTATGCATGGTTATAGTTTTTACCCCAAACGACTCTAAATTTTCGATCTTAATTTTCTGCAGGTTGTCAGTTGATCATGGGACATGTTGTAGACAAAGATCTTCTCCATTTGGTACAAGATGAAGTGAGAGATCTTATAAAGGACTACCAAACCATCGAGTCACAAGTGAATCTGCAGAACAAACAGATTGATAAGGTTGAGGAAGATGTTTCCACCCTTAAAGATCAGTTTGCAAGTCAAGAAGCCGGGTGTCTAAGCACCATGGAAAAGAAGTTACAAGAATTTGAAAAGAATAGAAGTGAAGAAATCGGACAGGTTTTGAAAAGGCTTTTGTCATTCGAAGCACAGTTATCCATGCGACTTGGGTTGGTAGAAGTAGGGCTTGCTAAGACAGTCGATAATCTACAACAACTGAAGCAAAGCCAAACCAAGACAGATGACAGAGTAGAACAATTGGAACAAAGCCAAACTAAGACAACTGGTAGAGTAGAACAACTGGAGCAAAGCCAGGCCAGTGCAGGTGATAGACTAAAAGAACTGGAACAAAGGTGTGACCAAGTGAAGCAAATTGAAGCAGAAGTGAAATGTTTAAAAACAAACAATAGCCAATTAGGTAAGCTTAGTTGGAGATCAAATTATTGGCCAAGTGTTTTTAAGTAATTTTTTTAGCTACAAGGTGGTTATTGCCAGTGGTCTAGTATGTTGAGTTTCTTGAACAGTAGGTCCCATGTTAATGGTCCGTGGAGAATGCACTGGCCAAAATGCACTTATATCTGCAAGTGGCTATGAACAAGGACGAGACTCACGAGACTTTTGTTGGTTTGATGCCTGCATGCAAGGCTTAAATGTTTGTAGATGTAACCATTAGTAAACGAAAAGAGACAGTAAACTTGGTCGCGTGGTACAAAGTGACTTTTGCCGTTTGCCGTAAACGTAACTCCGTCTAAATCGGTCTATTATATAAATCTTGTCAATTGATTGCTAGATATTATGAATATAGCAAAAGCTGCTCGCCAGCTCGGCTGTTTATGGTTTATCAGATCGGCTTTTTTAATCACATCCTATTTCTCCGTGCTTTTTAAGAACGGATTATGAAATTTTAGTTTACCATAATATTTCTATCCTTTTTTGTGTCCTCAGAGGCTTCTCCTGTAAAGACTTTCCATCTGAACACCTGTCGACGCAAACTCCAAGATCATTACCAAAGAACAGCATCTGTGCCCACCTCTGTTTGGAGTAAGAGATCCGTTGTTGACATACGCAAGATTTACACTCGACTATCCTTGGTGAAGGAGAAGCAAACCCCAGCTGAAACAACGCACTTTGAGTTAAAGCATTACAGCCATCTTTTCTCTGGAGACACTGACCTCGATATCATTCCGAAACGAATACTTATGCAAGGGACGACGGGAATCGGAAAGAGCACGTTTGTCAAAAAGTTGCTTGTGGACTGGGTGGATGTCCAGAAGGAGACAGGTGATGAAGAAACAGCTGTCCTGAAGAATTTTGAACTTGTGGTTGCTGTGAATCTCAAAGAAGTGTCCAAATGTCAAAGCTTTAGAGATGTAATTAGACTCTCTGGTGTTTTTGCGAAGGAAGACAAATATATGACAGAGGGCCTTGTCGATTATATCACTAACAACCAAGAGAAAGTTCTTTTGATCTTTGACGGCTACGACGAATACCGATGTGGACGCAACTCAGAAATCTACGACATTTTCGTGGGAAATAGCTTGAGAGAGTGCTGTGTATTAATAACAACTCGTATTTCAAAAGCTGACGAGTTGAGTGGAAGTGAAGACCTGAGTGTTGAAATCACAGGGTTTCAAGAACCTGACATGAGAGACTTTATGGCGAGATTTTTGCCAAAAAAGGAAGTTTTCAAACTGGAGAATATTTTACGCGAGAGAAAACTTCTTGAACTAGCGAAAGTCCCTCTACTTCTCCTATTTTTCTGCACCCTCTGGAAGGAGGGGCAACTAAAGCACTTTGCAGAAACTAAAACTAAATTGTACATGGGCATTATTCAGTTTATTCTAAATCACAGCCATAGAAAGCAATCGCCACCTCAGTATGTTGAAGTACAATCTTTCAAGGCGGTCCTCTCAGAGATAGGAAAGATCGCTTTACAATGTCTTTTGAAAGATGATCATTTGTTTGAGTACAATCAGTTGTCCGACACTGTCAGTTGTGAAGAAAGCGTCTTCATCGGTTTACTTCAAATGACCGAATTCTCTGAATCCCTACGGCCTGTTGGAATGGTGTCCTTTATTCACAAGAGCATACAGGAGTTTCTAGCCGCATGGTACATCACTTTCAGATGTATACCAGAAAGCGGGAATCTCGAAAGTGAAATTGGAATAAAGTTGGAGGAGTGCTTAGCCTTGGAAAATGTATTCCAGTTCATATGTGGCTTGAGCGAGGAAGGAGCCCAGACGGCTTTGAGCCATTTCAAGTCCGTCAGACTCTCCGATCCTTCGCTGGACTTATCGAAGGCAATACCGGACGAGGAAAACAAGACAGATGTACCTCTAAGTGACGTCACTGAACGTCAAAAAACGTTCAACGACTTAGTTTTAGACTCATTTGAAGAGGTTGAATCAAAAGCTAAGTTGTCAAAGACTTGTCTTGATTGTCTTGGAGGGATCCTTGTTGTTTCAAGGCCAGTTCCAGTTGACCTACTGCCAAACGAACGGGATGTAAAGCCTTGTTCTATAGTTATAGAGAAAAGTTTCTGGTATTTTGTGAGGCCGACATCTGGGGTTACAAGAGTGGTTAAGCCATATAGAATACTTAGCCGCGTCCGGCCCCCTTGGCTAACTGGAGTCACATTGGGTGAATTTGCAACGAAGTTCCAGAATGCCAACTGTATTGTCCGGTATGATGCTCCTCCTTGTCAGTATGGCTCAGTACTTTGTTTCCGAAATGACCAAGTCCACTTTTACATAACATACTTAGAGCTACGGTGCAAAAACCACGCCGGGCTATTCACTGATATTGCGGTTTCATCTGATTCAACATATTTAAGTTCAGTGCATTCATGCATGAAATTCCTAAAATCCCTATATTGTAAAAAATTGGAAGAGAATTTAACGCTAGAACTTGCTGCAATCATCAAACACTGTAATCATTTGGAACGCGTTGAAGTTTCTAAAAGTGATGACTCTTTATGTCAACTCCTGGTGCAAGTACCAAATCCTAGTGGGTGCTCTTTGTCTATCGAGTCATGTTGGTTATCATCAGCTGGAGCGGTTAACCTTGTATCTTTGTTACTGAGGTTTGGAAACGTCAACCGCCTTGGCCTTCACCTGGATGAATGCTCCGATTATGCAGGAGAAAGATTGGGTGATGCCTTAATCAACCTGAAGTCTCTGAAGAACCTGAAACTGAGCATTAGCCTAACTTCAGCAGTAGCAGCGGCGCTTGGTAAGTCGCTGCCTGAATTGTCAGCCTTACAATTGCTGGAAATAAAGGGCTCTGCTAAAGGACACAGTTTGCAACACAAGGCCGAAATGGAGACACTGTTTCATAGCCTTAACAGGCCATCTGGCTTGAAGTTTTTAGCGATCGTCCGTTTCAACGTGAGAGGAAGTCTTGCTCATCTCACCAAAAAATTTTGCTTCTTTCCATTGTTAGAAGAGTTACATCTTGAACGCTTAGACATAGGGGAAACCGACTTCCTTAGTCTCCTCAGGAATATGAAATTCATCCCTAAACTGCGACGGCTGAGCCTGATAGGTAACCCACTTGGTCATGCAGTAAGACAGATAGTCCCACATTTACTAAAACTACAAAGCGTGCGACATGTTTTCTTCGAACCAGGAACTGATTGTTCGGAAGAAGATTTGGATTATGTTCGGGAGGCCGTGAAAGGAAAAGTACCTCAGCTGAAAATTTCCTATCATAATTATCCATATTTCTTCATTCCCTCTGACAGCGACTGGGACATATCGGAATAACTGCACAAAGCATTCATTAAGACATGGAGACATATATGTTATTCACCGGCTGGGAGGTCCTTATTGGGTGTAACCCTGTGCCCGTACTCAGACCGAGGGCACAGTTTCTCCCCATACGGACCAACCTAGACCGGTGAATAACATTTTTATTTCTTCCTACTGAGATTTAAAAGTTTCAGGAAAATTTTACCTCAGCCTCCAACCTACACTGTACGTTTGTTGTAGGACGCGTTCGTGTTGATGAAGCACGCGATTGATTGCAAAACATGATTTTTAGCTTGTAATTTGTATTTTCACGATTAACCTCTCTTTTAGAATAAAGAATGGTTTTTGTGTCTTCGTAGACAATTCATAATCTGAGTATTAAACAAGGATAAAAGAATTGAAATGTTTGGTATTAATAGCCACAAGAAAAAAAAAATACAGCAAAGATTTTCTACGGCTGAGTTAACTAAAGATTATAGTTCAATCGAGCGGGACAAAAACTGCACCAAGGCTTTATAAAAATAGCTAATTACACACACCAATCTTAAGGTTTTGAATTGAATTCGAATAAAAGAAGGCGATGTGGGCAACAATTATATAAACAAGGAAATGAAAACGGCGATAACCGACTGCTAGAAACTGAGTGATTCCTGTTGTTTATGAAAGCTAAATGCAATCATTCACAACAACCTTTTCTGAAAAGTAGAAAACTAGCGAGACGAAATTCAATGAAAAACGGCAGAATCTAGAAAAATGGAAAGCAAAACTACAAACCGATCAAAAATGTCGAATTAACGGTGCATAAAAGCAAGATTGCAGTACTTACAGCGTTAGTTATTAAAAAGTTGATGAAGCGAAATCATGAACCGCCCTTTTTGCTTTACTTTAGCGGTTTTCCTGGCTAACTTGCTTGATTATCCCTTCAGATTTTTTGTCTGAATAATAAAATTCGCTTTCCCTAGCTAATGCTATTAAGAAACGGTCCAGATAAGAACGATAGCAACAACGGCAACGAACATGTTGGAATGCAAAAAAGGTGCTAACTTTTCTATTGTCTGTACTTACTTCTGATTGGCTTAAACAGCAAAAGTTTACAAAACTTCATAAAGCAGTACATACATGTATATTCATCCTTACTTTCCAACCATCTTCCATATAACAAAATCTGGTCTCAGTTTAAATAACAAAGAAATACCATGTAGGGAACATGTAAAATTGTAAACTTTTCTTGGCTATTGTTTTCAACTCTTGTGATTGGTCAAAATCTTTTAACACACAAAAAACCACCCTTTTAAAGTGGAGTGTAAATGCATTTTATTGCGTAAATGGCCTTCTTGTAGGTTTATGCATTCTCTGTGTAAAAATGAGAACATTCCTATCTGGGGAAAGCACCGTTGCCGCATAACAAAAGAAATTGCTATCCACCTTACTCGGATCATTACTTAATAGCGCAAGTTTTAAAAGAAAAATGGTTTAAAAATCACGGTTTTTGCTCATTCACAAACAACAAACAAACTTGTGAATGAAGCTGTCAACGATTCCGCCCGGGTTAGTGGGGAAGATCGTAAAAACCGCGTGCTCTCGGAACTTATTAGGATTTGGAGGATTCCGCCCGCTCGAAAGTTTAGAAAAAAATAACTACCACTTAACGCCCCCCGCTTAAGTAAAGAGTGCAATCTCATTGAACATCTTTTTTCAGGTTTTTAGTTTTAGACATTAAAATATTTTCTTCAATCGATTTTTGAATGGCGTTATTCCCCAAGTAACGAAACTAGGTCCAATATTATTTTCAGTTATAGTAAACCGGCGACTTTGGTAGTGTCCAAGGAAGCCGCACGTTCCTTATGCTGATGATCTGACTCTTGCGATTATTGAAATTGTACCTAGGAAAAACTCGCTTTTTCTTGTGAACTTTATTGTAGATGACATCCAATCATTTGCTGCAACCGATAATATTTATCTGAGTCTGGTGTAAAAGTCTGTGTTTTTCGACTTCTATTATTACAAATAGTTACGTTTCTTTTATCACCAAATCAGATTTGAGGACTGTTTGTATTAAAAATGGCAGTTGGTCACTTTGAGATCTAGAAGAAGAGTGATTAGCTGCGTAGAGTGTTGGACAAGGCTATCCACCTTCATCTAAGTTAAGATTTAAACGCTGAATCAGTTTCATCTAGGGTAGTTGCGTTAGTATGCTGCCGTGGTAAAGTGCAAGTTGTCCAAAACCTAGAGTTTTGCGATGGAGAAAACAAAGAGTGGCCTTTACCATACCTTTACCTTTTTTTTGCCATGGAATCAATTTCCTTTTCTTGCAATAATTTAATTTTTCCTTGGATTTTTATAAAAATAAATTTCAAATAGACCGACTTCTTTTGACATTTGATGCGAGAAAACATTATAAGGTCCGACGGTGACGAGAGTTAACTGAAGCTTTAGAAATGCTAACTGGCGAGTAAACTTTAGCCTCCTAGTACACTAGCAAGTTTTCTCTGACAAATTTGTTCCTAGACAAGAAAATTTGCTCGAGCAAATAAATAAAAAACGTCTACCTACCATATTCCTAATCAAATGTCGGTTGAGAAGGGGAAAGCGGAGCTCCCCGAGCTAAATCTCTCAAGCAAGAACCAATAACAAACCGACCCATATGTGGCGTCGCCCTGGGTTTCGAACCCAGGCCACAAAGGAGGGAGCGTTGTTTGTGCTGCGCCAATCCTACTCCCTAAGCAAGACAAAAGTTGTTTCCGAAAGCTATTTCAGTGAAGCAAGCATGGCATTTCAAAGCAAACAAATTGATAGCAGTTTCTTTCCCCGAGGCGAAGGCATTTTTTCTTGCGTCATTTGGTTAGGGAAACAAGGGGTTCCTCGCATAAAGATAAACGCCGCGGGGATCTTGGAAAAGGAATGAACAGAGACCTACTCGCAAGACCTTACGTTTCACCTAACCTTGCGTCCACCCGCAGACAAATCCTTTCTCGATGAACTGAACTGAAATCAAAAAAAGCTAAACGTAACCAAAAACAGAAAACTGAAAATGAAAAAGCAGAAAATCTGAAATTGCTGGCAAGAAGCACATGTTCAGGCCCTCGTAGGTTATAAGATGTACCAAAAATCGCTAGTTTTCCTATGTTATCAACACTTATGAACCGTGAGTTCATCTTTTCGCTTTCGGTACAGACCCCAAACTCCACTATGGTTGTCCTGTCCTTGTAAGCATGATAGGATTTTCTTTGTGGACTTCTTTCTTCTGTAGGGTTTTACATTCATGTTCACATTCGAAGATGAGTTAAGCTAAGCTTGTCTAATGCGTCTCGTTCACACCAAAGAGACTGTTTTTTTCTTCATATTCAAAAAAGATTCGTAAGGGTTTGTGAGAGGTTTTCTGTCAAGGAAAATATCCCTCTTCATTTCGTATAAAAATTACTAGCCTTAGAAATCAAGCAGCATTTCGCGACGATACCACTGGTTTCCCCGCAAAATGACGCCTAAGGATCGACCGCAGAAATTCCATACCGCAGATGACGCTTCACTACCCAGATCTGGGTAGTGACGCGTTATCAGTGCGGAATTTCTGTACTCACTCCTCAGATGTCATTTTGGGGGAAACCAGTGGTGTCGTCGCGAAATGTTGGTTGTTTTCTTAGGCTAAGAAATCATTACAACCTTAGACTGCGAGCAGTCTCTTATTTTTCTTTGCAAAGTTACTGCAAGCGAAACCTAAGCACACGAGCGGCAAAGCCGCGAGCCGCGAGAAACGAGAAACGAGGTGTCAATCCCTTATTGTAATAATAACGTCGTAGTTTGCAATCGCGCTGGATGAGATAAGAACTAGACAGAATTTAAGAGAAAAGGCGGACTGCAAGCAGTCTATTACAACCTTGGTGCGTTGCGTTTATATCAAGAAACCTGAGAGGCTTTCTGTCAAGGAACATATCCCTCTTCATTTCGTAAAGGTATCACTACTCCTTGACGTTTAAGCTCGCTTAGTATTTCAAGAATAGCGTCAAGTTCATGGCGAAATTTTTCAATCTCCCGATTTTTCTGTCGCACAAGTTGTCTCCATTTCGCCTCCGTTTCTTCCTTCTCGATTTTTGCTGTTAAATGTGTTTTCTCGATAATTCGTTGCAAGTCTACTTCTCTCTGCGAATGTCTTTGTTCCATAGCAGCTATTTTAGTTTCCAGAGAATCAAACTGTTTCATTTCTGGTGAAAACTTTTCCTTAGCACGTCTTAAATCCACTTGAAGTTGGTTAACCTGTTGTTGAAGAGACTCTTCTCGAACCTAAAATATACGAAAATGGAAGTCATTGCCAAGCAACTGTAAGTAATGTTCGAGGACCTCACAGGTGACGTACAGTAGAATTGACCATGTAAACTAATAGAGAGCTTTAGCTTCGAGGGCGAGATTACGTACGCGCGTGAACCAGTGTTATTTTGGCGGGAAAAAGGGATAGCTGTCGTCATTCTGCTACGAGTTTTAGAGAGGATGTCTTAGTGGCGGAAACGAGTTATCAAATGCAAGAAATTTTATCATTTTGTAATCGGTAGAGGGCTTACCCTTCTTTAATTTAGATAGTAGTGCTAACTTGTCTTGAAAAGAATAGTAAAATGAAACTTTACGGGGAGTCTACTTTTTGAGAATACGGGAAAAATACTCGTAGTCGTTCTTGTCCTGTAAAGAATTCTTCGTTGCATGACCGAGTGTTTGCTGTCTACCCTTAAATCTTTTACTTTAGGAAAGAATTTCTCATTTGTAGTAGCAAACGAAAAGGGAAGTTTTTTAGTGCTCAAATATATTTCCCGACTCGTTCAATCTCAAGTTGTCAGGTGACTGGTTAGGCAAATCTTCTCCTATCTACTCAACAAATCAATAAAAAAAAGTCTTCTCTGTAATATGTCGCTGAGGCACGTAAGCACTCTGTTTGATACGAATTGAAAATGTTGCCTTCTTGTTTTTAACAAAAACGAAGAAAGTTTTTAAAGCTCATTTTGAGCGAAGGGTGGAAAAAGCGCGCGATAGACCGAGAAAAACAAATTGCGCCATCATTGATTCCTCTCAATAGACATAGACCATACATGGCTCTCGACCAATAATTGCGCGAGAAATCGTTTAGTTAAAGAGGCTGTGTCATGGCTGGCTAGCTCATTTTGTTTCAACGTCAGTCACGCATCCTTATTCGCTATGAAACTTGAGAAATTACTTTTGACTGGAAAAATCACAACCGTATGTCAAACAAAAATGTCAGCCATGCATTATATCAAACGTTAGAAACAACAAAAACGAACTTTGAAAAACTGTTACGCAAACAAGCTTTCAAAAAACTAAAATTTCAATCCGTTATAATCTTCTTCAAGTTTGTTCATCCGCCACCTCGTTATGTATTTGCTGTGTTATTTTCTTTTAACGTTTTGAGCGGATATTTTTATGTTTCACTGAATTTGGTGGCAGTTCCAGCTCACGTCTGAATTTTGATAAATTTCGAGACACAGCTCCTTCAGTGTCTGGGAAACTGCCCACCTAGCCCTCCCCTAAGCCAATATTAACACTTACCGTATTTATTCGATTAACCGCCCTGGGCGCTTATTAAATTTTTGGACCTTGAGAGTGGGCGCTTATTACATTTTCAACACTTCAGCAAGTGTAGTATGTTTATTTTGCAACAAAACAATAAATAGTAAAAACAAAACGCCAAGATGTAACAAAGCAAGGTTTCTGTAAAATACTCTGAAGAAAACTCCGTCCTCGGGGAAGTCTCTTATAAGTACTTATTCAATTTTGGGGGGGTGTGAGGGGAAAGGGGGTAGGGTGGGGCGGGCGCTTATTCGAGGCTGGGTGCTTATTAACTTTTTCCGCCTTTAGGATGGGCGCTTATTCGAAGTGGGCGCTAATTCGAGGTTGGGTGCTTATTCGAATAAATACGGTACTTGTCACTCGGGGCAAAAAGTTGGCTTAGGGGAGGGGGTAGGTGGGCAGGTTTCCAGAAACGTATAAATGATACAAAGAATCTTTACCTTAGCTGATGCCACAGCATCGGCATTAACACTAACATCAGCCATTTTCGCTTTGAGTCTCTGTATGACAATTTCTTGACCAGCTAGCTGACTCTTAAGCTCTGCTATTTTAGAGGATCCATGACTGACAGCAAACTCTGCCTTCAACTGATCTATTTCACGTTTGTGTTGAGCCTGCGCACTTGCCAACTGGTCAGCTGCCTCTTCACGAGAAAGACGAGCACTTCGCTCCGTTTCCGCCAAGGAGGCCTGGAACCGAACCCGCTGTTGATCCATATCTAGTGACCAGCGCGACATCTGTTCTTTAAGGCGCTTGTTTTCCTGTGTTAAATTTTCTAATGTTGGGTCTGTGATGGGGCTTGTTTGTTTATCCACTTGGGTCCGTTCTGAGGCCAGCATTTGTTCTCTTTCTCGCTGCAGCCTGTTGCATGTCTGTCGCAAGTCCTCCAATTCAAAATCCTTCTTTTCCAATTTTTCTTGCAAAGATTTGATCAAGCTGTTTGAATCATCGCTTGAACGCTTTTCTAACTCAAGCTTTCTTCTACGACTGGTCTTTCCACCCGAAATTTCCATTGATTCAGCTTTTGATAATGCGTCTTGTAAAACTTGGACTTCGGTTTTAAGTTGTCGAACTTTGCTCTCGTTCTCTGCATGCACAGTTTGCAATTCCTCTTCCAAAATTTTAACCCGCGTGTTTGAGCGTGACACGGTATCGTACCGATCTTGAGCGCTTTGCAAATCTCTTTCTAAATCTTTGATTCTGTCTTCGTACTCCATTCTAAGAGCATTATATTTTTGTTCCACGCATCGAATTCTTTTGCTCGCATCCTCATCTTTATCCTCAAGCTCAGCTTCCAGTTTTTTCACTCTGTTTTCTAAGAATGCATAAGTCGGGGATTGTTTGCGAGGGGACTCTGTCGTCACAGCTTGAGCGTGGCCTGGTGCCGAGGCAGCCGCATAGATTAGAGCGGGAAGGGAGTTCGGATAGCGCCGCTTAATGATTTCTTCCATTTCACGGACCTATAAATAATAAAAAAAAGTGTTAAATAAAATGGTATCGAATAGATATTTGACGCAGACAATAATTTGCTCCCACTTCCAAAACAATACGAGATTTTTTATAAGTCGTGTAAACACACCTTTTTTGACTTCTCGAACTATTTCTTTACACTTGGATCACAGTTTCACTCATTCAAAGTTTCATTCTTTTCAATTCTTGCCATTTAAAGACAATAGTACGGGTTGTCGAAAGTACAAATATTTCAAGGGCCCCTTAAATTTGCACGTAGACAATTGGCTACAACACCTTCCATTTTCTCCAGAATCAGTAACTGTTTTATTTATGGAACGGGTTTGTTATGGGTTGGAACGGGAAGCCTGTCCAATACAATGCTGAGAATAATTGATTTTACAGGGCCAACGTTATAACTGTTGACTCAGTAGTTTATATTGTCACCGAGAACCAAAACAAATTTTGCAAACAGGCTTGACGACTAAAAACGCTTTCCAAAAGTCAGAACTGACCTATTTTGAAGTTTTTTTCTAAAACCCTTCACAGCCATGGACACCATTTTTTAAAAATAAACTGCCTTGGCTGGATAGCCCTGATTAATAGTGGAATTCTCCTTACTGGAACTGGACTGGTCGGGCCAGCCAGTTGTGACAAATGTTAAGTGCTCTAAGAAACCCCAAATAGCCTAAGGCAGTTAGCTGTTAGCTGTTAACAGGCCCGAAAAGGGAAGCTATCAAAAACAATTCCGACCACAGTGAAACTCCGCTTTACGCACACCCTCTTAACCCTTTCACTGCCAAATGTGGCCAAAGGCAAATTTCGACCAAATTTCATTTTCTAAAATTTTGAGAAACAAATAACATCAGGTGAAAGTACAAGCAGAGAGCTTTTATTTGAATGGTCACATCATAGGATTTCGTCCACAGACTCAAAAGTTAGAGTCACCTTACAAAACTCTATCAAACACTCTGGCAGTGAAAGGGATAATACGGACAAGTTGCTTTGTCCCCTCAGTGTTTTTACTAACAGGGTTTGACTGTAGTACCCAGAACAGGATATGGACCCCGGGCGACAGGGTTGAAATCCAGCACCCTACAACACTTGGACAAGTTGTATCCTTGAAAATTCACCTGTCTCTCCAAATCTTGTATTCGTTTGGCATCAGTCGCTCTCTCCACTCCCCTCTGTTTTTTCTCCGCCACTGTCTGGCCGTGTTGGGCTTGTAAACGAGCTACAGTCTCTTTCAACTCGCTTATTTCTTCCTCTTTCTTCTTCAGTATAAGGGCATCACGGTCGAGTAGGGCCTGGTTCTCAGCATACCATTTGAGTTTACTGCGCAAGCGCTCCACCTCTGTCGTGTATCTACTTTCAAGTTCAGCTATTTCTCTGGCATTCGAGCCTGCCAACAAACAAAAAGTTACAATTAGTACGATATAACAATTAGTACAATAACAATGGAAATTTCCCACGCCCGGTGACTTCTATATTTCTTAGCAGTATATAAAAAAGGCAAACAGTTAAAAACGATGTAGATACTAGGATTCAAGTGAACCAATTGGGCCGTTTATAATAGAAGACAAATAAAGAAAAATAAAGAAAGTAATATGACGGATGAAGTCAGAGAACATTATATTGCAATTATTTAACACTTGCACAGTTTTTCTTCGTCATCACAAACGCTGATTTGTGAGGAAAAGGAGAAAACTCAAATCTAACTCTCGGCAAACATGGTGAACTGACCCTTAAATTGACATAATAAGACGTAAGTTGCGCGTACCAATTAAGAGAGAAATTAATAACCATTATTATTCATTCAAAATATTTCCCCGATTCTGATTGGCTAATTGCACAAGTTTAATTCACCATAACCAGTTACTGATGACCAAATTTGGAAGAATTTTGTGTTTAACGACGAAATGACGTCAAAAATGCAGCGTTTTCGCAGGTTAAGGCACCGTTAACCGAGAAGACCTGGGGACGAGGTTGAGTTGTTTTGGTTGTGAACTTGAAAAAATGGCGGACATTTCACTCGTTTCAAGAGTAAGAACTAGGAGAAAAAAATAACTAAAAACGTGGCAAGAACAGCAAGACGACAACTCGAAGGGCGACATCTGCTATTTGGAGAACATTTGCGCAGCTGGACAAACCTAAACGTGCACTATCGAAGATGAACTCAACATCGATGGAGGTAAGCATGTTTTAGCTACGTTTTTAAACTTGGAATTATTTTGAATGCATAATAAAACAGTTATTGAGTTCGGCTTTCGTATCATGTGAAGAATTATGGAGATCTCGGAGGATAATTCTTCATAGGATACTCAGCCTCATTCATTAACTGTTAAATAAGACCTGGCAAAAACGCGTTGGATGGGATAAGATAAGATAAGGGACTTTATTTAACGAGGGTTACACCTGACAGTAATTAAAACTCGCTCCAGGTACAGCTTCCATTTAAATAGCTCATGACCACCCACCACTTCCTTAACCCATTGTTCCCACTGACAGTTTCCCTAGCGGGGGATACTCTTGATTTCAAGTGATGGGGATGTTCGAATGGGGGCAAAAATCAAAACCCCCCAAAATCAACCCCCCCAAAAAACCCGTGCCGAATTTTCGAGCCTTAAAAATTTGCAGAAAGCATTAAAGTTTGGTTGTACTTTATTCGCAGAACTATGCCGCTGGGATCATGCGCGGACACTACCATGAATCTTCAGATTGTTTTGAACACCCAAAAAATACCTACTTAAATCATGCCTACCCAAAAAAAAATACTTGCCACATTTTCCTACCGGAAAATCCCTGAATAACCAGGGGGGAAGTTTCCCAGAATCTTATACTAATCCATAAACAGCCAACTGGTTGCTTACCGCCAATTGGTGTTTTTAATTCTGCTTTGTCATGTTTTGGAATGATATTCTGAGAAACCTCCCACCTACTTCTCTCCTAAACCAAAGTTGACACTACTTCTCACTTAGGGCAGGGGTAGGTGTACAATTTTCCAGAATCTTAAGATGATCTGTTCACGGTTGGAATTGAAGTCACTAATAAAATGAATTCGTAGGATAACGTCGCGACTATCCCAACTCGCTCAGTTTTTCAAAGGTAGGCGAGTTGAATTCCTAAAGAAGGGCACCCCAGTTCAAAACGATAAAGAGAGATTCTTAGTAGCGGTTTCACGTCCCTTATAATATTCAATAGAATGACGTCGCGACTATCCCAACTCGCTCAATTTGGTTTTTACTTAACGTCTCGTTAAGTAAATTTCACGTAATATTCGGCCAAAGAAGACAAAGAAATGTTCTAAAAGTGTGACGCGCGTCCAGCCTTGTCCTGTTGCTTTCAGACATAGCATATATGCTTATCCCTCTATTACCGTAACCTCGTTCCCAGGGTCCTCTCGTGCCATTTACTTACGCACTTACCCACTTTAATCTCTGCTCACAAAATATACATTCCATTATTAGGAACAATTTGTACAGTAACGGATTGTTACTTACCAACTACTTGACTGCTTTGTTTCACTGCTGCATCTCGTTCACCCTCCACACCCCTGATACGATCCTCGAGTTCACTCTTAGCTCGCCTCAGGCCCTCCGCTTCCTCCTGCACATCGTTCACTCTTCTCCTCAGTGTTCTCATCTCTGCTGTCAGCTGAGAGATTTTATCCGCTCCCAAACTAGCAGAGCCTGGGGCGGGAATGTCTCCACTTTCACGTCTTTCCACCTTTTCTTTCAGATTTGCAAGTTCAGATGCTGAACAAAAGAGGAACGGTTATTCAAAGAGAGCACATGTATGTCACTGTGAGTTCCACATTTTTCAGTCACGATGAGCTGAAATTTTAACTATTAAAGTATTTTCAGTCACCATGCATTTCTCAAGTCAAGTCAACTTTATTTAGGCAGGGTAGCCCTATCAGCTATTGGCTGGTATCAAAAGGGGCCCTGCGTAAACTACGACTACACGATAAAATTTTAAAAATCAAAAACTCCGTTAAAATTATGTACAATGATTTTCAAACGTGAATAAAAGGGAAATTACTTAGAACTCTTAAAGAAAGATGTAAAATAATTATGTTGAAGGGAAAACAAAGCATGATCTTTCTGTGGTCATTTTTCGGCAACAGAGTTGACAGTTGGCCTAGTTTTTTCAAGTTGCAGTCCGTTTAATTTCCATCCTGGTCATCGAAAGCCAAAGACATACACTTTAAGGCAAATTAGTGGAGTACATTTGAATACAAAAACCGTTTTCTTTGACTCAAGTGTGTTCTAGGGTTTTACAGTAATACTAGAAATTCGTGACATAAGTCCTTTATACAAAGCTTTGCTTCTAATGTGAGCGTGTTATGACTTTCAGTGCACCTCCAGATCTGTCTATTTACGTTATGTTTTTAGTAGGTATATACGTCTGTGTAAAGTTGGCCAAATCAAACAAGAAGTTTTTTAACATGCCAAAACCCGTTTAAGAACACTTTCATAATATCGTTTTTTCCTTTTCAATCGGTATAGCGAGTAACCAAACCATTCCCACAAGCGAGTGTTTAAAAGTGGGGCAAATCTAACATTATTACCTAGCTTCTGGTTTTCGCTGAACATTCTCGCCTCGTTGGCTTTTTCCTTTGCCTGCATTTGTTTAAGTTCTTTATAAAGCCGCTCATTTTCCTGTTGATATCCTGTTAGCAGCTGTTCCTGCTCGCGGACCTCTTTCTCCAGTCTCTTCAGCTCTTCTTCTGATGCAATCTGAGACGAGAAAAAAAATGATGAAACACTTACAACTGAGATGCATGCAATTCAAAAGTTACTGTCGAAAAATTATGACGAAGCTTATCGTGAGTGAGAGCATTTTGGATTTCTTCAATTTTTTCTTATTCTTATTTGGGAATAAGTGAATTGCAGGACAAACCTTCATAAGAACGGATATTATTTCTGAAATTTAAGCGACCATTTCTTAAAATTAGTATTTCCTCTTTTCTTCTCAGGTCAGTAATAAGTAACCACAAAAACTCATAAGGGGTTGTTTCTGGTAACCACCAATGAAATACCAGGTGAGCTTTCGCACGAAAGCATGATATCTTCACATGTAAAAAGATCACTGTTGCCATGGCTACATGATAAACCGCGACTTTCGCAGTAGAAAAAACAATGTTATATTGAAATGGCTTGCCATTTCATTGGTTTGTTAACCATAAATAATACGACAGGGACCTCAAGCCAAAATATTTAAAATATTTAAAAAAAAAATATTTAAAATATTTTTTGAAAGCTAGCCTCAAACCTCAAGATTTCCTCCAGCCGCTACTTTCTTTCTGACATCAGCTTCCTTCTCAGTCTCGTTCAGCTTGGACTGCATTACAAACAGTTCTTGTTTCAGTTCATGTATCTGACTTTCATATTCCAAACGGCTCCTCTCGTCTCGTCTTGACCACTCCTTTTCACGTGACGCCATTTCCGCGATTAACTTATCGTTTCTTTTCTTCTCGTCCTTCCATGCCAGCTGCCAGTTCTCCACCTCCGCTTGCAGGGCCTTCTCGCGGGAAAGTCGGTGTTCATCGGAAGCCATTCGGAACGATGTTCGGGAAACCGATTTAGCAGGCTCGTCCCTATACCATCTTACCGGTGGTGGTTCTGTGTTTTCGCTATCGGGACGGACAAAATGTTTTAAATAGTTTGCGAAGGATTCTACAGACGCGGCGAGTTGTTTGGGGGACGGACTGGATTCTATCGTTTTTGATTCAAGGTGAAGCTTTTTACTTGCTCCAAGCGATTTATTTGTCTGAAAGAAGCAAAAAAAATAACGAAAGTAAATAGAGTAACGGTAAGGTGATTTACCGGAATTACTATATCTGGTTTGTAATTTCTGAAGCTAGGTGATGAAAATTTCACTATTTAAATACCGGTAAGGGATTTTGGGAGGATATATATCTGTTTTAAGTTATTTTGTTTTTGAATATGTATATAATCATAAACCCCTCCCAACTGTTCAACTGCAACTATCCATGTTTACATTATGATAGAGTATTGTGTTGTGTCGCTGTTAAGGTGCAAAAAGCCTTAAGGTAACAATAAATAACACTAGCAGGACTTTGCATGAGCCACACCGTAATTTTTAAGGAGTTATTATAACCCCAAAAATGGAGTAAAAATTTTAGCCCCTTTTTTGGGGCTACTTTAACTCCTAATTTAACTCCGAATTTGGGGTAATTTTTACTCCTGAAAAAGAGTTCTTTTTACTCCCAGTCTGGAGTTAAAATAACTCCAAAATGGGGTTATGTTTACTCCTTCCATGGGTGGTTATTACTCTTTTTGGAGTTAATTTAACTCTGAAAGTGGAGTAAAAAGTTTAGGTACTAGATAACTCCTTTTTGGGGGTTATTTTAACTCCTCAATATCTGAGGTCAGTTTTACTCCTGAAAGAGCGCTTAGGACAGCGATGTATAATCGCTATATAAATTCCATTATTAAAGAGTTCTTGAAACCCCTTTTTGTAGTTAAAATAACTCCCCAAAAAATAACTCCACTGTAAGGAGTTAAATTAGCCCCACTAGAGGAGTTATTATAACTCCTTGAAAATTACTGTGCATTTTAAGCGCTTTTGCTGTTAATTAGTAACAAACGCACCTTCGTTCTCGTGCTTCTCAGCGTAGGTGTGGGTGACCAAGAGGGAGCTGACGAAGGCGATGGTTTGAACAGATGACTTTTTTCCACCGAGGTACTCCCCAACTTTCCTTTTCCCTTCTTTTGCGCTGGTTTCTCTTTTATCGAGCTCGTTCTTCCTGATCTCTCTTTGTCAGCCTTTGATGTTCTCTTTGCTGTAACTTTAGCCTCAGTACTTTTCTTGAGACTATCTTTCCCCGCGCTTCTTCTGGCGCGTGCTATATTCTTGATGCTTTGTAAACTTTCCGGCGGAGGGGTATCTTCGTCTCCATCTTCATCCTCCTGATCGTCCTTCAACTCGCTCTCCAGCAAGTTAACGACGGGTTGCAGACTGAACCCACGTTCATCTTCCGCGGTTGTCTGCAGGTCAATTCCTCGTCCAACTTCCACACTGTCTCGCGGCGCATCAACAGCGGGTTTAAGGTCTAATCCTCTTGCGCCAGTAGCCGGCTGGAGACTGAACCCACGGAAATCCTCTGTAGGCTGTAGGTCAAAGCCTCGACCTCCTGAGGTTATAGCAGATGTCACATCAAGGCCACGTGGCTCCAGTGTGTCAACTTTCATGTAAGCGTCATCAACAGAGGACATAACACTTGAGCCAAGGTCTTGGATTATACCCTGTACCGATCCCTTAAATCCTGAGTTGTTCTTCAGGGGGCTTTAACCCAAATCCTCTTTCAGAATCCACAGAGATAAACGAACTTGTGTTCTTTCCCTGTGTTATCATGGCAGCACTAGTGGCCTGCCAATCATCTGTCACAACAACTGGTTGAAGGTCGAATCCACGCGCCCGAGTTTCTCCTTGATCGTTTTTCTCGATGACAATCTGTCCTTCTTTGGACTGATCAACACCTTGAATGACACTGGAAGTGGGCGGAAGTTCCAAATTGCCTGGAGAAGGAATTTCAAAATTTAGCATGAATGTGAGAAAAGTTCCTCTTAAACAGAACAGGAAAATTTGATAGTAACAGTGTCAACACTTTCAACATTTTCAGAAGCTCTGGTCCACAGAAAAATAGGTAAAATGGTGTTTTCCAAAATTCCCAAAGTTTCCGAGAGCGACAAAGAAATTAGTTAATCCAAATTGAAAGCGACTCAAACTTTAATTGACGCGTTGTTCATGTGCGAGGGCGGATCAGCGGTCAAGCTTTGCAGGTAACAATTATACTCCAACAAATAACGGACTGACTGGAGAATTTTGGCGGGAAACAGTTCATTGTCAGATGCCATGTGACCTACAAGTTGCCAATGAAAACGCACCCTTTTGAGGAAAATATTCCAGTTATATTAAAGATTTCATTATGAAATTAATTTTACCTGAGTATCTTGAACCTGTACCAGTTGCAGTAAGTTGAGCGGCTTGAAGTGCAGCTTGAAGCTCGTGAATATCTCTTGTACTCCCACTTGCCTCATACTCAGTTCCTGTTCTTAACATTGAAGGTACTTTTCCCTCCGGGCTTACTTCCTCCGCGGTGGCTAAAAACGCAAAGAAAATGCAAACACACACAGACTTGCACGGTGTATACCGTTTACAAATGTGCGCCTTAACGCCCCAGAGACAAAAATTACTCCACCCCCCCCCCACTGTAAGTTGAATGAAATAAGACGCCTTGAAACCTTGAGCGTTTGACGCGCACGTTTTAAAAACGAGAAATTTACAATCAAATTTTTATACTTCCAAAACCTTTTACAAGTGTAATTTGACTCTTCCCAGAGAAACGATATACAGGTAGATTTCTTACCGTCAGGAGAAGCAACAACTTGTTGTTGTTTTTTCTGTTGGGAAAGAAGACTGAGGGCTGCTGCAGGTCTCTTGGTTTCCAAAGTAGAATCTAGCGACTCCATCAGAGAAACTGGTTTTAAAATAATTATAAGTAAAATGTCAAAACGTTTTTTTCAGAGTCAAGACTCTTCGGAAGTCGGCTAATGAATGCAACGTGTAAATGCAATGCTGTGGATGAGAGGAGAACGGTACGTTTCCTTAGTTTTGTATGAACTGTAAACTAGGACGTCAGCATGCAATTTAGAGAACTTAATTAAAGTAATGCCATGAAAGACGTTGTTCATCGTGGTTAATCTGTATAAAGGGTTTCGTATATCGTTTGCCTCACCATGGTGATCGCGACGTTTCGACTGCGTCCTGCGGGACTTCATCAGGTAATAGTGTCGATTTACTTAGTACGACTATATTATGGGCCAGTCGTACTCAGTAAATCGACACTAATGGTTCGTCTCCTGAAAAGTTCGACGTCTGGCCTAGGCCTAAACCCACAACAGTAAAATCGTCTGTTCTGCCCCTCTTTTTTTCTTCTTTGATCAACTACTCAACTACCAAGCATAAAAAGTTAGTAATAATTTGTGTACACACCTTTTGATAACAAGCTCGGTTTGGCTGCCTCTGGAGGTTCCTGATATAAAAAGTAAAAGCGAAACGTAGTAAAACGTAAAAGGAAAAAATACACAATGAGTTTTTTTTCAGATCTACCATAACGAGAGGCAAAGACAAAGAGTAATAAAAAAGTGTTAGAAATTGCCTGATCAGAGGATAATTTAAACGAAAAATACAAGTTACCGCTATCAATATTATACCTATCGTTTAACCACGATTTCTGAAGCCTTATATTCCGTGCAACTTCGAGAAGCAAGTACAATAGTATTTATGTTACAGGCCACAATTATATCAAGGTTAAAATTTTTTAAGCTAGTTGAATCTCAGTTTCCTGAATTAGGGCTAGGAGAAAAAAGAAACTGAGAATCAACCCAGGTTAAAAAAAACCTGAATTTAATTTTGACCTGTAACAATTACAATAACTACCAAAACCAAACGACAAGAGGATTTCCAGGAGGCCATTCACAAAAAACCCCACTTTCTTTACGTATCAATGCATTTAACGCGAAAGTACTAATTGAGGAATTGAGAGCACTACTTTTTACGTCTCCAGTAGGAGACGGGACCGCCATTTTACGTGGTCATCCGAGCCTCGTGGTCCAGCCGCTTGTAGAGCAAAGGCAGTACTTTCATTCTCAGTTATTTTGAGACCCTGAGTATTGGTGCGGCCCCGGGGATCAAACAAGCGAGGTTAAGCACCAGGGCCCAGTTGTTCGAAGGCCGATTAGCGCTTAACCTGGGGTTAAATTTAACCCCGGTTTCTTTTTCTTGTGCTCAAAAGCATTTTCTCGGATTATTTTCTCTGTTATTTTTAGAGCTTCCGATCATCAGCCTGTAGACAAAAAGAATTAAAACTGAAATGCTTGTTAAGCTTTCAAATCTGAATTCAAATCTCGCACTAACCCTTGGTTATCTTAACCCAACTTTGAACATCTCGGCCCTGAGCACTGAGCCCATGATGCACTCTGTTTAGAGTACACGCAGACAGTAGTTTTTTAAAAAACGAAATTCGTCTACGTCATCACTGACGTCATACAGTACGTACAGGAGCTGAAGGCCTTGGTGGATCCACAGTATCGAGCGGTTCTGCTTCAGGACTATTCTCATCTTCAAAATTATCACTGTATTCTTCATCTTGTTCTTCGTTACCCTCCACAGCATCATCAACGGCCGTTCTGTTCATTTTATCGGCTGTTCCTACACAAAGTGAAGCATTTTAAAAATGCAAAAACTCTCTGTAGTTTCTTAGAATAAAAATTATACCATAGGAAATAACAAAACAAAACAGGGGTTGATTTCTCTAATCTCGGTTATCAAACAAAAAAAATAATGTCCTTGATAAATTTATTTTCGCCAGTTGTTTGGCTTGGTTTACCCAGTAAGTTTTCTGGAATATGAAGTGCCTGTTTTTTTCCAGCGAAAGAAATGCTTACATCGGTGACAACGCTCTATCACAAGGCGGTTACCAGCGGTTTACAGACGTGTATTTTAACTCAAACCACCGGCAGCAAACCAGATCGTCGAGATACAAAGATGCCGCAAAGAGGAGGTTACAGCTTAATTTCTAGATCTCTCTCTGTAGTCAGAAGGTTTCAACTCTTCATCCACCCTTGTAAATACTAGCCGGCCAATCTGCCTCATGCCGGTTGGTTTTCCTGACCTTTTGTTCTTACATTAGGTTGTAGGACAGCAATGATGAATGTTAAACTATTTACCAAAACAGTAGATAGCAAAGTTGGTGAGTCCAATCCACATTTACTTGCTTTTCGATAAAATTTGAACTTCATAAGGAAGACAACTCTCTTCGGAGGAGAGTTAGAGATGACCCCGGGCTGAGACAGAAGAGTTGATGTTGTAAAGAAATGTATCGTGTATGAATGCAAAAACCTTATTCTCACCGGTCATATTGAATATTGAATCCCCAAGCTCGGCTCCTGTGGCTTGTAACCTGTCATCTTCCCTCCTAACATAGAAACATACAATGTAAACACGTACATAACAAATCGACAACAATTTTCCATGGTCTGTGCTCTTTTCGACCATACAGATGACTTCAATCTGTTCCAAACTCAAGTGGAACCACGAGCCGCAGGTGAGTGGTTTCATGGCAAAGTTTTGAACATTTTGATGTCATTTTTCTGGTCGATAAGATTAAAAAACAAAATTATGTTCACTTATTAATTTTACAAAGTATCCATAAAAAGGGAAGTAATACGTACAAATACAAATTTAATATGAACTACTGACCTTGTGCATTACTATTAAAATCTACATTGTACGTGACTGTGAATAATTTCCATCTCATAAACAGAATGTACATGTAAGATGAAAATGAAGCAACTGAACTGTGGGAAAGTTAGGCAATCTCCAGTTACTCTTTTTATCATGACATCTACAAAAACCAAAGGTCTTTGTTTAGTTTCTTTGTTTCTTTGAAATTCCAGGCAATTTTGAGGCCAAAGGAAGGAAAGACCTGAAATAGGCCCTTCGCAGCTCGCAGTAACGTGTCGACCTTCAAGATGAGGGAATTACTACATACAAAATACTGTAATTATTACAGGGGCAGGGGGCACTTAAAGTGACAAGATGGTCAAGATGATATTGCTGTTTTAGGCTGATTCTGTGCTCAAGTCAATTATACTTAGTGGCTTTACCCGTACACAAAATGCTCCCTGTAGAATTATAATGTTCTAAAATTTCAAACAAATTTCATAAGGGAGCTCTAGCCATACTAATTTCTTTTGGTTATTTTTGCAGGCATAACATTAAAACTTGAATGACAAAACTAGACCATTAGTTTTTGGAATTCAAAAATCAGTTGATACGGAAAACGTTTTAGTTTTTTAACCCATTCGCTCCTGGAGATTTTGCCGAAAAACGCGTTTTGAAGCTAGTCGAGTGGTTTTCTGGTCACTGTCGTGCTATAAAGAGCTAAAACTTACCACAAACCGGTTTACAGGTCGTACACTTCGCGGCCTTCTGATCCAGATGCAAAATGTCAGCTTGCGAAGTTCGGGCATGCGCAGAAAGCAAAATTTCGAGTTTTTGGGTTTAAAAGTGACACAGCAGTCTTGACTTTTACTTTTCGCTTTCTCTCCTCCCCTCTTTTTTCGCTTTTCTTGCCTCATTTTTTTTCTCTTGCTGGGCATTTTGTAGGCTTCGTTTTTGTGGGAAGAGTTTTTAGGAAAGCTTTTAGGATCTTAGGATTAGGTGAAAGGAAAGGTAGGTGAGCAATGGAGCAAGATTTTCATGGAGATTTTCAGGTCAATGTCACATGGTTTTTTGCTTCTTTCTCCGGTGTCCTTGACTGAATTGTGCTCATTCTGGTATGGTTTGAAAGATCTCTTCACTCTGCACAAGTTAGCAGACGAAGTTGTCCTAGACCGTTAAAAACTGATGACGTCACAAAGGGTAGAAAGGACGTGGATCCGCACGGGCGGTTACGGGCGGTTCAGGGGCGAATGGGTTAAAAAGACACCAAACAGGGTGACATAGATGGCCCCTTTATAGGAAGTTTGGGTGGAGGGTGTGTTGCTAAAGGCCTTCAAACACTGAACCTGTTTAAGACAAAAATGATTCATTTCACCAATCTGTTTAAGTCTACAGAACATTTTTCAAGGCCTTTTTCAACTCATTATGTATACAGAATTAATATAAATTTTTCAAACTAACATAATACAGTTAAATTGTATAGTATTATCATCTCTACATGATGAGTGTAGACAGAACATTACACATCCTACCTTTCTTGTGTAACTGACTCTGAAGTTGAAATTTCTCCAAGTTTTTTCTGATAGTCAACAGGTGATGACCCATCCTCAACATTGTAAAAGAATTTCTCTTTATCAGCCAGTTCATTCATTGTTTCCAGTCCCATACTGGCAGGTTTGGTGGTGGCAAAAGATTGGGGGACTAGAGAAGAGGGACTAGCACTTGTTCCAGTTTTAGTCTCATCTGATTATGAAACAAATTAAAATTAAAGCTTGGTATGAAACAGAAAAGTTGAATGCCTTGTTGAATTAAAAAAACAAAAACAAACAAAAGCAAAAACAAGAATAAAATGGCAAACGGTGAGATGCAGAACAGTTTAGGCCAAAAAAAAAAATACAACATTGGTAATTAAATATTAACAAATGAATTTAGTTTGACACACACTTCGTGTACAATGTACCTACAGTGAACAAGATGTGAAGCAAAACAATACATACCACTATGTGTAAAGGTATCCTCAAAGTCCTCGGATCCGAGCCTAACAGATGACGGTATAAATATTACTAAGCTACATGGAACATATCATTTTCATTTTTGTGGTTGAAGTTTGTGGACATGAATACAAATGATTTTTAAAACAGTGTATAACTTGTGTGAAACTTTCAAGACATAACTGTGAAAAAACAAATGGAGGGATTCCCTGACAAAAACTCACGAGATATTTAATTTTGCAACCTTCCTACAGTAATTTGAAATGAACTACTTTTATACTTAGAAAATTTTTTACACTGTCAAGAAATTTAAAGGGTTGGAGGGCAAGTCCCTTGATATATACCCTGGACCAGTACCAGAGGTTTTTTTCAGAAACCCTGCATGAAAAGTCTCTGGCACCCAAGGTAGTCCTTTGAAAACTTGTTGTTGCGAATAATATTTATTTAAAATATCAGCTCAGATACAATGTGAAAGAAAGCTTCAAACCTTTTAAGAATCTCTTCAGGAGGCAGTTTTGTCTTTTCTGTAGACTTGGCAAGTCCTGCAGTTAGGATTCATAGTATATTATGAGAGTGCATTTAAACATTGGTAAATACGGTAATAACATAAAAAATTAAGGAGTGCATAAATTTCATCCATTCTGAACAAACACAATCAATGTTTTGGTATTGATGTACCGTATTTGAAAGTTTACCTTCCTCAAGACTGTCTCTACTGATTGACAAAGCTGAACTATCAAAATGACTCCCAGCAGAAAGAGCTGTTAGTGAGCCCTTGGCAGAGTGTGGAACTGCTGTAGGAACAATTGGAGTTGCAGCCTAGGAAGATTGAATTTATGTTAAAACACTTCTGGATACCATAGAGATGAGATAGCTTGGGGTAGAATAAATGCATGGAATGCTAGTGTCTCGACTCTACTAGGGGGTTGGTATAGGTAATAGCATGATTTGTAGTGATATTTGGCATAAATACCACGAGTGATATTTCAAAATTGTTATACGTAATTTCACGAGCCCTTAGGCGAGTGAAATTTGAAACAATTTTGAAATATCACGAGTGGTATTTACGCCAAATATCACGGACAAAATATGCTATTATTTGCTTATACTACTACCGACAAAAGGTTTGTAATTTTCACATGTAGGTATTTCAAATTAAGCTGAAATACCACTGCTCTAAGCCAATCAAATTGCAGAAATTTCTCATGTAGTAGTATAAGGACAGAAATAGGACAGAAAACCAGTAATTATCATTCTTAACCAATGCATCTGGGAGTGGGGGTGGGGTGGGGGGTGGGGGGGGGTTTACTCCCTATAATGACCTATACAGGGAGGGTCCGCCCAAAAGGGGTACCTTTTTTAGGCTTCAATGAAAGGGTAGGCATTTTACTACTGTAGTTGAAGTATAATGAAAGGATAGAGAAATCTGTCATTTTGGTCTGTAAAAATACCCAACAGGGCTAACAAATGCATTCTGGTTTTGTGATTTATTCATATTTGAAAGACAGTGCATTTACAGCTGTTCTGTACAGTTTAAAAAGAATGATGAAAGGATAAAGACCCATGAGAAAAGAAGTAAAAGAGCGGGGAGGGGGTGGGGAAGAAAGGAAGGAACTGTCATTTTTTGATGTGTCATCAACTGTCAAATTGACCAATAAAATGTTTGGCCTTCCGTGGAACTTTAGAGGACTAAAACCAAAATAAATTTTTTTTTTTTTGTATTTTGGTTTTGGATGGCGCTTCATGGTGATTTATTTTCAAAATATTTGTCTGCAAGCGTTTCCTTCCTTCCCCTCCCCTCCCCCTTTTTCACTTTTTGGCTCTCGTTTCATTTCTCGTGCGGTCAAAACCGTGTATTTACAGCATTCTTTGTTCGAACCAAACGGAAACGCCCTTTAAAAAAAGGGATGCAAAGTTTCAAACTAGGTATGTCAAAGGGGTTCCATTTGCCTATAGAAGGTATACAGAAGGGGTATCTCTTCTGTCAAAAATGGTACAGCTGTATATAATGTAAAAGGGTTTAAGGAGTTGGACCTCTGGGCACTGGGTGTCCCTGTAAAAACTCAATACTCAATACTCCCCCCCCCTCCCACCCCCATGCAAGAAAAATGATCTTTACTATGCTCTAAAAAGTGGAAACAAACACTGACAATTTTTCTAAGAAATTTTTGCACCCTATCTGTGGTTTATCACAGTGGGTGTGTGCTAAATCAACAATAAATGAGGTTCACTATTCTGTAAAACTTTCACCCCCCCGCTTAGAGGGTGATTACTAGTGGCCATTTTTAAAGAGAAGTTCACTGAACATTCTTCTTACATTGTCTACTGCATCTTTATCTTGATGTTTGAGTTCTTCTTGTTCTTTGACCTCTGACTTCTTTGGTTTCAGCCAGCTCTGACGAGTAGCTTCTCTTTTATCATTGTCATCCTCATCATCTTCCTCGGCCCACCAAGGCATTTGATCTCGAACTGGCTTTGTCTTCAAATCAGGAGTCTTTATCCGTGGAGAGCCCATTGATGACTCATCTGACATGGACTGAGAAGATGAATTGAAAAACAATATAAATTATTGGGCTTAATTAAAATTGAAAGGAAAATAAAGATTTCAACTGCATGCAGTGTCTCTAACATTGGGGTACGTAAATTCAGTACCGCTAAAAGTAAGTTCACAAGCACTCGGGTCTCCAATCCTCGAGACTTGACTCATGATTCTCAAACTTTCGAGGGTTGAGTCTTGAGTTTTGAGTCCAAAGTTTCAAGTCAAGAAATATAATGAGCATGTCCCTTGACTAATCTCTCGAGGAACAAATTCATCAAATAGTTTGCACTCTGTTTGCTGTTTTAAAGGATAATTGTGAAGTAAACCCTGTGCAAATGACTTTTGCAGTGCATATCTTCTCAATTATTGCCTTGCTTGTCACCTCCAGTTGAGACTGTCAATTTAATTTTGGGTGGTACTGTATAATGTGTCAGGATCAAGATCATCAAACTGTACAAAGACTTTGGGAGGATCACCATGTAATTTTTAAGCATTTGTCTGTGTCAGACCTTGCTTTTATTCAGTTGACATTTTGTAGGACCCCTCCCACACACCGGGTACTCCCTTTCTTAAAACTGTCTACAAATCTTGATATGGCCAAGCGTACCAAAGGATGACAAATAATATGACGCCGGATAGCCATGAAATAACACACTGATTTCGGAGCAGCCATTGCAACACTTGCAAACCCTTGATGAAGGAGGAAAATGACGACTATTTGAAGACTTTACAACTTGAAGTCACACAATGCGAGATAACAAAAAATTACAAATCATGTTTTACAGCCTTCTGAAGTTTTTATAGAATGACTCAATCATTACACAAGACAAAGTGTCTTTCCTGTTATTTCCATGATACAGCTATATTATAAGTTATCAAGCAACTGGGCCACTTATGCGGGGAAAAAATAAGATGTTGTGTCTTACGGACTTCTCATATAAATGGCAGAAAATAATTGTGTTCCAGCTTAAATAAGACACAACACAGCTAAGAGACCTCTTACACTGTATATGCTCGTATCTATGTCTTATCTAAGACGTGTGTTAATTACTGTACGCCGCGTCAAAACACACTTTGCAAACATACATTTGTATTTGTTAGCTGCAAGAAGCAATGAAAATGTATGAAAAATTACTAAGCGGCGCGAAAATGAAAACACTGACCACTGAGTGACTGCCCCGCTCATTCCCCAGTCAGGGAGGCGAAGACTGTGAGTTCTAGCTTATGCCCCGCTTTCCGGGGAGCAAAAATGGTGTGTCTTTGAAGTGAAAGGGGGGCGGGGGATCAAGGGGTTTCAAATCGGCTTGTGCACAAGATAAAGATAAGATGAGAAACTACAAGTGTGACAGATCATAGAACTTTGGAAAGCAGTTTTATTTCAGGTTTAATTCCTCCATAAAATATTAAGCCTAAGTAAACCTACGCCTTTTAATTGAAGTTAAGCGTACATGTAAAGTTTAATTTGCTTACCTCATTTAGAAACTTTTCAAATTCGGCGTCCAAATCGATATCTTTCTTTTTAAAGCGATCTCGTAAATTTTCCCACCGATCCGACATATCTGAACCTGAAGTTGATCTTGCCTTTTCCAATGTTCGAAACACGTTATGCAAAGAGAACACTATTCGATCTGTACCACACCAACATCTGCCGCCATCTTTTCAAAGTGAGATATGTCAACAGCTTCGTAACCAAGCCAGCAATTTAACCACAGGCTTACCAGGGTGCGTCTTCGCGCGTCGACAGTCCTTTACTTCTTTAGTTGCGTTACGTTATTCCCCGGGTATATCACGAACCAATGGAATCCCGGTTATCCTGAATTATTTCTACTTTATTTTCAGTCGCAACTGACTTGTATCTTTAACTGTGATGATCTTCTCTCTATTTATATCTTCATTCCGCGGTTCAGCCTTTGATAAACTGACAGTGAAAGTTTTATTTCCTATTGGAAGGGGAAACTGTTGTATTGTGGATAACTATTTTATTCTTTTTACCCCAGTCACAGACTGGCTCGCTTGTCATCGGGCCCTTTCTTTCTGAGTAATTTTATAAAGAGCGGGGTGAATAGGCCAATGGATCGGCGGATTTTGAATTTTTTTGCCCGGATTTCGGATTCAAAGCGATATTTTAGCGGATTTCCGGATAATGCAATTGCAGCGGACAGCGGATTCATCCATTTTTTTGGCCCGGATTTTAGACTTTGCATGAATAAAAATATTTTTGCCCGGTTTTCGGATTCAGGGCGAAATTTTAATGGCGGATTTGGTTACTAAATATAACGGATCGGCGGATTTGCATAGCTCACTCCCCTCTATAAATAATTGTTTTCGACATCAATTTCTACTGTATTCTAATGTGCTTTCTTTTTTCATTATTGATTTATTATTTAGGATTTCTGTTTTGTTTGAGATATTTTGCTTCAGATATTTGAGGACAACGATATCATAATTTTATATACCTACCACTTAACAACATTCGGCACAAAGTGAAAGCACAGCAGTCAAAGGAGTCGTAAAAGGTTATTTTTCCTTTGTTACGCAGCTAATGCATTTCCGAAGAAAGACATTTATCTTGTAATTTTGAACGAGGAGACGACTTCCTACAATGAGTAAAAAATATTAGGCCCTTATTTAATGAATCTCACCTGGAATAAATACTGAAGAAACGAGGCGACTGAAACAAGCATGTAGGAGACAAAAACAATAACCTCAGCCGATTCTGATTGTCAGAATTTATGCCTGAAGCTATCCCAAAGCTTTTGATAGGGCTATTATTTTTTTTCCAGGAAATAAATGCGCTAATTACTTGAGAAGAGTAATACATTCTACGTAATAGCACTCTGAATTACAAGGCAATGATTACCGACAGTCGGAAGTGAAATTTATGGTTTACCCCAGGATTCGAGAAAAAGCTTCGTACTCTAGATCCTCAAAGCTCAGTGAACATTTAACTGAACAGTAATTCACGCCAATTAGTTGTGGCATACATAAAAAGAAAACAAATCTGAGTTTTGATGGACTCTTAAATTTAACGCCATTTCGACTATAAAGATAAACGGGTTATTGATTTCAAGATTTGGGTAACATGTGTGCTGTTAATTGTCATTTCGCCTGAATATTGAACATTTTGATAATTGATCTAGGCAGTTTAATCTCTTAAATTCTTTTCCTCCCAAGTTGCTGAAAATATATCTTTCCTTCTGAGCTGACCAAACTGTATCCACTTTAATTCCAATTCATTCGAATGGTTCAGTTTTGTAACTTTGTCAAGATTTTATTCAGTTTTCGCCGATCGTGTGTCCTGCCATCGTTTTTGAGAGCATCGTACAAGAACAGTGACAATAGTGGTGATTAACACCTTTAAACTTCAATAAACCATTTACACGATGGCGTCATTTTAATACAACGACCGGAGTCCATTTTTTTGTTTGAGGGGTGATATTTCAATTTCGTAATCCCAGAGAGGTTTAAATGATAAAAGCTCATATTTGCACAAGAAAGCAAAACTGTGGATGATGCTCAGGTGAAGTAGTATAATGACGTCATCTTGCAAATGACCTATAGTGCACTAATTTTTAAAACAGTACTGGAGATTTAATGAGCGTCCTCTGAAGTTTAAATGGAATAAAAAACTACTCAGCCAGATGTTAAATTTCCATCATTTACTGAGCCTTTAAAGGGAAAATGTGCATGATCCAAAAGGACACTTACTTAATGATTCATTTCATTGCAAATAAAAGTAGTATCCTCGAGGACAGAGCCGCACATAGAGAAATTCACAGAATCAACTCTATAACTGTAAAGTCAACTGCGGCACTTCGACAAACGCTAACTGAAGAGCAAACTTCTCATTGCGGCGCGGTTTTCTGTCACCCCCATCCTTGTAGGTAGGTTTAAATTTTAAAACATATCTATAAGTATATCAGGGTTATGCATAGCAAAAAAACACCGCATCAAAATCAAGTGGCAACTCTATACCCGATAACTGAAGAACTGGCATCCAGTGCGGTAAAGGGCATGTTTTTGTTTCATCAGTTAACTGATTGCTCTTGATAGTTAAGTTTAGTTGTTACCGTACATATGCTCTAGGCCTTGAACACAAAATATTTGGTTGATGCAGTCTCGATCAGTGTCAAGAAAACGACCTTATTTATTCTAGGCGATGAAGTCATTTTATGTCATAGTTAGATAGTAGCCGTTTTTCTATGGTCGCTCAGTCTTGGAAGGTGGTAGACCATTTGCATTTGTTGTTACTACTAAGACCAGAATTCACTTAGTTTATTTTCTTTTTCTCTTAAAATTGGTAATTCCAGTAATAAAAAATTAAACATCCCAAATTTGCGCAAGAAAAAAAAAACCTGAATTATTCTGGTAGAAGTAGTAGTAGTGGTAGTAGTCGTAGTCTAGTAGGGCTTTTCGTAGTACTAGTAGTAGTAGCAGCGGCATCAACAGCAGTAGTAGTAGCAGTAGTAATAAAATGACTACAAGAGTAGTTAATAACCTATTGTCTCCTTTTCAGTCATTCATTTGTTCATTTATTTTTTTAGATTATCAGAAATTTATCTTATCAATGCGTTTAATCCTACAGTCACGGCAAGGATGAAAATTTCAAACATCTCTGATTATGGGAATATTTCCTCCTCGCCAAAAACCACAAGTCATCCACCAACAGGTATAACAACCGCCTCACAAACAATCAACATACTTGTGGCAACCGTAGCCATTATAGGAAACACACTGGTGATTTTAGTGTTCATTCAAGACAAGAAGCTACTAAGGAAATCCTATAACATTTTGATCCTTTCTCTGGCCCTAGCTGATGTGCTGACCGCCGTAACCTTGATCACAAACCCAGCTTTGGTTCTTGGTGAGGCGTTCCCCTATCCAAGTAATCCATTTTGGGGGGACATTTTTTGCCGAGTGATCTGGAGTCGATCGTTTCTCTTCCAGCTTGTAGTATTCTCTGCGTACATCTGCTTGGCGTTAATGACGGAGCGATGGTACGCTGTGATCAGACCACTCAAATATAGTGACACTTTCAACAAGAAGCGAACTCTCATTTACATCTTGGTTGTTTGGCTATGGTCGCTAATTCTCTGTTGTTCCACTCTATTCGAAATAGAATACGTTTCATCTTATCCACCAACTCGACCCTGCAGATGGCTGTTGCTTTGGGGAAAACAACGTGCATTAGTGGGGATAATTCAAGTCTTCTTCAAAATGGTTCTTCCAAGTTCCCTTATGCTGGTTTTGTTCATCCACATGGTGTACAAGACCAGCAAATCTGATGTAGCCTCAACAGAAAGCAGGGCGAAACTGCGCGGGAAAATGACGCGAATGATCGGTTTCGCTTGTTTTATGCTGATCATTTGTTTTGCGCCCAGTCAGACAAACTTCGCGTTGGCCATGGCGGGAATAACGCGTCTGGATTCCAAACTACACCACGTCCTGTCCCTCCTGGTTTTTATCAACAGCTGCTTGAATCCGTTCATATATGGGATGAGTAACCAGAATTATCGCCGTGGCTACCAAAAGATCTTTGGTTCTCTCATGTGTTGCCGAAAATTGAATAGCAGCAGTAACATGATTACCCCAGGCTCGTGTAAAAGTAGAAGTACCGAGCATGAAAACGCGCATGAAAATGGCGGAGAAAGCTGCTTTTACTTGTCTGAGAGGGACACTTAATTGGCGGAAGCAGATAGTTGGTACTCTTAAACTCGGCTAATGATGATGAAATAATAATAATAATAATAATAATAATAACAATAATAGTAATAACAATAATAATAATAATAACAATAACAATAATATTAATAATAAACTTCATGGGCAGTTTTGGAGGAACACAGCAGAAGGAAGAGAGCAAAAGACGTGGGAGTCGCTGAAAAAGGACAAACTAAAGAAGGAGACGGAGGGTATGATTATGGCGGCACAAGACCAAGCCTTGAGAACTAATTTGGCAAGCAAAATGTGTCTGCAAAGTATAGGATGTGCGGAGAAACTGATAAGACAATTAGCCATATTGTATCGGAATTCAAGAAACTTTCTCACAAGCAATATCGATATTGGAGGCTCGACAAGGTGGCGCAGGTGGTTCAGTGGGACCTATGTGGAAAGCTGGTTTATGACAGGGATGAAAAATAGTACAACTTCATGAGTCACATCCACTACCAACAAGTTGCAGTGGGACTTCAAAATACACACAACACAACATTCAAAATACAATCAACACAACAAGACTGACATTGTGGTATTGAATATGATTGAACGGAAGTTCCTGATTATTGATGTTGCTTGTCCATTTCAAATGCTAGTGAAAGACAGAGATAGAGAATATTGAGTACTACCAAACGGATATGGAAATTGCGCAGAGTAACTGTGGTTCCAGTCATAATTTGATACATTATGAACTGTCTCGAAAGGCATAGAAAAGTGGTTAGCAGAGACTGGTGTCACATTCGTTTAGAATCATTGCAGACAGCATGCTTACTGGGTAGAGCCAGAATCCTTTGCAAAATTTTGGACACATAAGGTCACGGGCGGTGACTTGTTGTTCAAGGAAGACTCCAGCAAAACATTCAGAAGGTGTGTTTTATGAGGATAATAAAAAAAGTAATAATAATAATAATAATAACAATAACAATAACAATAACAATAACAATAACAATAATAATAATGATAGAAAACATCAAGAAAGTATCAGAAAGAGCTACTGTGACAGAGATCCAAAAAATCTGCATGCTGCGATCTGCACGAATCCTCAGGAAGATGCTTAGTGTATGAACAAGAATGATGACTTGAGTGAACGACACTCCAGGTGCATGCTTTGAGCCCGGCTGAAAAAGAACACCAGCAAAGACTGTGACATAAGAGACAATAATAATAATAAACGTCAAGAAAAGAAGGACATCACCATTCTCTATGACATGTCTATTCATACGGATAGAGAAATTTCTGCAAACCACCCTGACATTGACCCCGACCTGGATCGACTAAAGGCCTTCGATGGTGTGCCCCACACCCGGATCGTCAAGAGCCTCAAACTCGCTCCACTATCACCAGAGTCATACGGGAAAACATGAAGTGGTGGAAGACGATCCTCCACCTACACCACGATAAGGGAATGGTGACATTCAGACCTATCGAAATCAAAAGTGGCATCTATCAGGGAGACTCTCTGTCACCTCTAGTATTTTGTCTTGCTCTTGCTCCTCTAAGCTCCCTCCGGAACAAGAGTAGCTAAATAACAACCCACAACGAAAGATCATCCACCTCTTCGACATGGATGACCTGAAAACTTACGCGAAAAATGACGACGAGCAAACGGGCCTCCTGTCCTGCTGGCGTGGACAAAGACAAGACCCACAGATGGCCAAAAGCAGCTGGCTTCAAGGAAGAAACCGAGCGCTTCATCATCGCATCCCAACATTAAAGCCTCCCAACACGCTGGTACTAACACAATTCAACAACCTCAAGAAGCCTGACATGGACCCAAAATGCAAACTGTGTGGCCTTTTCGACGATACCATTGACAATCTGGTCTCTGGCTGTACATCCACTGCCACAACAAGGCAGTTGCACACATGCACTTGAAGTTCAGCAAAGAGTTTGGCATTAAGGCGAAGGAACGATGGTATAAGTATGAATCCAAGACTGTCACCGTTCTGTGTGGACATGCCCATCCACACTGACGGGACTGTAGCAGCTAATAGGCCGGACATTGTGCTAAAGAGCAAGAAGGACAAAACCTGACTTCTCATTGACATAACTATACCCCTCGACACCAACACCTCAGTCAAAACCACGGAAAAGATTAAAAAATAAAATTAATACAAGGACTTGGAAATCGAGGTTGAGCGAATGTGGGGGCTCAAAACAACAACAGTTCCGGTGGTTATGGGAGCCCTTAGCACCATCAAGAAGGACATTGAAAACTGCACCAACAAAATCCTTGGCAACATCATCATTCATGAGCTGCAGAAAATAATTCTCCTTTCTCCAGCCGATCTTCTCAGGCGGGTCCTCTCCATCAAGTAGACACCGTCTTTGCCTCCCAAAGTACATGGTTTGGACTCGGATGTTGAGAGAGAAAATCACTCCAATAACACTAGTTTATCATATATAATTATACGATAACTCTTATACGACCATGAAGAAGTTGACGATCACGATGACGATAACTATGACAATAACGATAACGATAACGAAAACGAAAACGATGACGTTCACGGCAATGACGATGATGATGGTGATGATGACGATGATAATAATAACGTTTCCTTTATTCACGCGTGCAATATTAATAGCACAAAAGCTAGTGGGACCGAGAAGAACCCCAACTGGGCGGAGACAAACTAGTTGGCTATTCAAAAGCATAATCGAGGAATTGTATGCGGAGCTACAGTGAAAAAAATCCAGATAGCGGAGAAGCTTAAAGGTACTTTGATCAGCACGGCTATAGCATGTTTCGAGGCGCTTTTTCTATTCCGAGTATAGGACCCCCTCGTATATAAGCCCTTCCGTTTACAAGCCCTCCTACACCCCTTACGAAGCTATATAAGCCCATGGTTTATAAGCGCAGTGCTCAGGAAAGGTCCTTATAGCGCCAATAACCTTTTCATTTCAATTTAAGTGTATACAGAAAATAAAAAAAGATTAACCCTGATAGCTTCCTTATCTCATTTTACGAGCATACATGTCAATCGACCGAGATTCCGAGTAAAACATACCTTCATCAAAGTTTTTATGGAGAACTCGTGAAAACGTAGTTTAGAATGAAATAACAAAAAGAATTTAGATGACAAAAGGACATATTTTGAGTTGACGAGATAAATAACTATAAGGTGAACTTTAATGCTTGTCAAAACTTAGCAGCCAGAGAGAAACAGCTAAACACGCCGCCACGAGAATTTTTAATGTTACTCATGATGACGTGCTCTGTTTCGAAAATTCTGGCGTTCTTTTATGATATTATGGATATTGATTTAACTGAGTTAGTTTCTTTGTTCTTAAAAACCAAAAGCAACAACAAATTTTATTGAAACTCGCCTATAATCAATTTAATATTTTTTCCCACCCGAAATAGACTAGGAACTAATCGAGGGGGAGGATCGAGGTAAAGACATAGTTACACCCCTGGCAAGGTTCTTGTAGATAGACAAGTTTTTTTGCATGGTTGTATTAGTGGCAATGAATATTTTTAACTGCTCGCTCGGGGTACCGGCAAGAGGCTGCTTAATAGAGGTTGGCTACTCAATAGAGGTTCGTCATAGATTAGTGTATTTCTTAGCGGTATTGCGAAACATCGCTTTATCTTGAAACAAACACGCGACAGGAGTGGGATTCGAACTGGTCCATAATCAGTCGTTCTATCACAGTCGGACTGTATTTTACTTCATCACATTTTTAAAATAAGGCCAAATTATAAAGAGCATCACCGCTTAATAGAGGTGATAACAATATTTAATAGGGATGACCAAAAGGAGGGCCGCTTAATAGAAGTTTGATTTCCAATTCTTTCCTACAATTATTGAGGGACTTTGATAACTGGCCGCTAAATAGACGGTGGCCGGTTAATGGAGTTTTAACAGTGTTCGAATTTTCCCTGTAAGTAACGGTGCGAACATGGAAACACGAAACTTTCTCTTGTGTATACATTCAGCTTAAAAGACGAAAATTTGCGTAAAATTGCAAACAATTGGTTTATGAAGTTATGTGCTAAATTTTGGTTGCTAAATCATTCCAAGAAGATTCCTGCCAGTGGCAACAGACTCCCATCTAATGAAAGATAATCTACGGTAGAAGTTCCAAGAGACTTTGATGGATTCCGCCGGCAATTATTGTGTTTAAGTTCAATTGGCGAGGTTAATTTTATCTTGCTTGAATATACGCAGGTCGCTGTAACTTGATTATTTGTTGCATTGCATTCCATCTTTTTCGGTTGTGGGCCTTTCCATTGTAAGAACTCATATCGATACTAACGAAGCTCATCCCCTTTGTCGTCGAGCGTAAATAAACTTCATTTTGATATACATAGCTTAACTTGCCGAGTTTTAGCCTCGATGCGTAATTTGAAAACTCTAGATTGAGCCATCAGCTTTTTTTTCTGGTGTTTAATAGTTTCTACATAAAACTCTTTGAATATCATTCCCAATTCCCAATTTACTTAATTTACTGTTACTTAACTTTGTGCACGCGGAAAAATGGCTTACCGCGGAGACGTAAATTCGTCCAATATTGACAATTTGAAATTCCGACTACCCAATAAAGCAATGGAAAAAGCAGCTCTTTTTTGAATTCAAAATTAATCACTGGGAAAATACTATAGTCAATCGCATTTAAGCTGATAGTTGAACATGAATATCTGCGTGGGCTTTCCATTGTGAAAGTCACTGATTTAATTTGTTCCGAAAATCACATGAGTACAACGGAACTTTTCCTTTTGCTCAGGTTGTCAATCTTAGATATCTAGATCTTATGTCACTGAAATACTTGGTTTCTTCACTTTTTCAGTCGCTCTTTTTATTCCTCTTATTTATTTAATTTAATTTAGGCTGACTATTTTCCTGTCTTCGGAGGTCAGCATTTCTTGCGCATTAGCGGGTGATGAAAACGAAAAAACATTAGCTCAGATCGGAAATTATCAATGAGAGTGAATCATGTTAAAGAAAAATCAATCGTGTTTTGATCGTAATTAGAAATGCCATTAAAGGTTCAAAAGATATGATGGCTTAAAGAAGTTAATGATCCAGCTAGTTGTTAATTTCCATTAGGCTAGCTATTATAAAGAGAACGAATCTGTTATAATCCAAGCTGAGACACCAGTACTAGTCGCATCTCTTAATGACCGTCTCCTCGCAGACAGCCCAGACAGAGAAAAATTCGGCTTAGACTAACATTTGCAGTTGGACAATCCAGCAAAACTCAAAACACTTCTTAGTGGACTGTTGGTAACCTCCAAGGGAAGCTAATTGTTTCAGGTATTTATGTCTTTAATCTACGAGCAAAATAGGGAAATTCGAAATGTCTGAAAACTCGGCCCAAGCTTGACCCGATTTAAACCAGGAAGTCGAAGACAAGCTTACATGAAAAGACAGGACGGCATCGCGCATTATTAGCCTGCTTTTCGTATTCATAAATTAAAGCCTTTATAGATATCGCCGAGTGAATGAATTAGAAATTATTTTACCACACTTTACAACAACCAAGGAGAATTCGTGCCCTCGCTGTTTTCAAGACGAAATAAACCTTGAACGATACTGCCTTTACACTGTATTGCAAATTAGTGGTGTTTTTTGTTAAAACCAGAAGCATTTTCAAAAAGTCTGGAAAACACAGATGCCCTAGAGATTATTTTGCTGTCAAAATCCACAGAAGCACTGAAAAACCTTTTTCCTTAAAGCCCTTTTTCGAAGAAGAGAACCAGACGATATTACCTAGAAATTTCTGTAGAAAGACTAATTAAATAATTCCTAGCACACTCTGGCATTTGAATCATATTAGAGAGCTGGGCATACCTAAGTCGAAAATATCCCTGAAATCTTCGGGTTCCAAAATAGTTTCTGGAGAAGAGGCAGAAAAGCCTTAAGTTTCCGTACCTCTAAATGATATCGAAAATGTTTATAGGGCGTTCCCGGTACAGCGTGATCGACCATCTGCCATGGTCCGATTACATAAAACCTCAGCGCCAAATACCACCTGAGCGTCACCCACCCAGCCCCGCTTTGATCTCTTTGATAAAAAGAAAAGCAATTTAAGGAAGCCATGTTAATGGTTTACGGAAT